GTGTGTGTGTGTGTTCGTTCTCACCGTGTTGAGTATGATGTGGTGCAGACAGCGTGCTCCCAGCATGCAGTTCTCTGGTCTGTAGTGGTCATTGAAGAGGAGGGGCGGGGGGAGGAGGCGAGGCAGGTGAGGGGAGAGAGAGGGGCGAGCGAGCTGCAGGAACAGAAAGGAAACATCAGTGTGTTTGAGCTCCTCCCTCTATCTGCCTCGTGATTGGCTGATACAGGTGTTCCTAATAAAGGGCTCACGGAGCGTCGTTCATTCTTTGATTAACAAATTCATTCACCGATTTGAAACAATCTCAACAATCAAACACTCAAAGTTCAATTATTTTCAAAAACAGACCAATTGAAAAATTAAAATATGATTTTGACGTATTGTGTTGTCATGGAAACATGATGACCATGATGACATCACAAAGTCTGACCTGCAAGAGAGTCCAGGCAAACACCAGCTTCACCGCTTCACACCTCTGCCACGAGTCCCTGCGCACACACACACACACAAACACACACACACACACACACACACACACACACACACACACACACACACACATACACACAGTTCAATGTAACTGACACATTTTTTTTCCAATTCCAATTTTCCCCTTGCTAAAACACAATTTTGCAAACTAGGCTGGTTTATGAAATTACTTTGCACAATTCACAAACCACATCTGGACATATCAACACCTCATATATCCTGAAAAATGAAGCACTGCAACCAAAACTACATGTAGCATTATCAAAATCTAACTTTTACACCAAACAAAGCACAAACTTCATTCAAATTACCAGATTTGTGTCGAACCAACTACACACTGTTTGGCACAATGAAAAGCTTTCGAATGCTTTGCCATATTACTCCGATAGTATTTTTTCAGTGCAACATATGCACAGCAGATATATTTACATTGGAGTGAACAAAAAACTGGAAACTGAAAAAGAAAATGTGCAGAAAAAATATAGAGAAAAAAAAGAGGCAAGAAAAGTAAAGGTGCCCCTGTGGTCTGTTCATCGTACGACCTTCCTGATTGGAGTGGTAACAATTATCCATCGAGGTGTTTGGCCGGGTGGCTCATTTATTAACCATAATGTGTAGTGTCATTTTGAATGGCAGTGTTTTGAAATGTGACTTTATGTCAGATTGTGCAGAGAAACGTGTTCAGTGCATTTAAACAGAGACAATTAGAATTTTGAAATGTGTGTGAAGCAGAAAATGTGTTTAGACTTTTGGAGACTTGAGGTTTTGCTGCGTGTGCCACTTTAAATCATTGTGCACATGTCACTTGGAAAAAACTGTAAAAACTCATTCCTACTTTGTGAGTTGCGGCTGCAGGACATCCAGGACTCCTCCCAGAATTCCTCTGCTCTTCCCTCCTTCCTCCCCCTCCTCCCTTTGTCTGCCATCTCCCACCAGGAGGTGGGTGGAGTCTCTCCAGCCACCTGCCCTCAGCAGCGCCTCCTGCAGGCTCCGTGCAGCTGCTCTGGAGGGGGGGTTGGTCCAGACCTGATCCTGAACACAGAGATGATGTCACCGCCACAGATTCCTACTTCACAGACGTTTTAAAAAACTTCCACCACACTAACCTGGAAATGCGTCACAGCAAACACACACACAGGGGGCGCCACACTCCATAGCAGACCGGTCTCCTCCCAGTTTCCCAGAGCTCCCAGCAGTGCTCGGAGCGCCGAGCAAACTGGGACAGCTCGGATCGGGACACTCTGATAGGCCGCCGGCGTTAGAGAGCTGCACTCATCCCCACAGAGCGGCAGATCTGCACAGCCAATCAGAGCGCAGACCAGAGACCTGTACGCAGCTTGAAGCTCCTCCTGACGACCCCCCTCATTGACTGAAGTCAGGGAGAACAGCCAATCAGGATCTGCCGTCTGAAAGAGTCGCTCCACATGACCAATCAGGGAGCTTGTCTCAGAGTCCGAGGACGCACCAATCAGCTTCTCCTTCAGCCGAGCCAGGAGTTCTGTGATTGGAGGGAGAGGAGGAGGGGGGAGGGGCTTCTCTGAGGAGATGAGATGAAGGTCATGAAGTAAAGATGAAAGCTCCGTCCTGTGAAGAGAGGAGGGAAGGAAGGAGGGAAGGAGGGAAGGAGGGAGGGAAGGGAAAAGAACAGATTCAGAGAGAAGAGGAAAAATGAACTGAAACATTTTTAAGATTTTACCTTTAACATCGTAACCAAACTAAAGCTCAGACAATCAGAGGAAAACCAACATCCACCAGGGGGCGATGGAGACTCTTCATCTGTCAGAGTCGTCATGTCGTCCATCTTTATTTACAGTCTGTGTTCATTCTGTCGCTCTGTCTCTCTTTAAAAATAAAACCACTGTGAAGTGAAACTGACCTGGAATCAGCCGCTGGTTCTGTCATCGAAGAAACGAGTCGGTTTAAATAAAGATTCCGTTTAAATAAAGATTCGGTTTAAATAAAGATTCAGTTTAAATAAAGATTCGGTTTGAATAAAGATTTTCTTCAGGTCCGCTCCTCTGAAAGTTCCGGACTCTTCAAGCGGAAGAACCGTGTGTTCGGAGAATATATCCGGCTGGGTACAAGCTCCCGCCGGAAGGTTCCTACCCTCTGAGAGTCCGGAAGAAACAAATATAAAGAAATGAAATAAATCATTTCACTAAATAAATGTTTACGTTTGATCAGTTGATGTGTTTCGTATCTATGAATGATGGTTTTATTCTTTCTGTGCAAATCAATGGTGCTGTTAGTATTCTGCTCACTGTGCATAGTATTTCTACTCTAGTTCTTATATGTACTTGTATTTAAATTGCAGGTTTACTTACTTTTACTTTGACTTATGTCTATTTCATTGAATTGTCTTCTTTGCTGCTGTAACAGGTCACATTTCTTCAATGTGGATTATCTCATCATATATCTTATATTATCTTATCAGATAGCTTCTCTTTTCTTTTCTTATCTGATTTTATCTTATAATATATCTTGTCTTATTTGAACTTGGCTGAACTGTTGCTTCAGTAGAAAATGTTTTGGTTAAATCTGTGAAACACCATTTTTTAAAAATAAAGATAAAATAAAAAAGAAATGTATAAATAAACAAAGATATGAGGACAAAGTCAAACACATGGGTTACATGAGTTGACTTAAAAGATAACAAGTGATAACAGTAATTTATAGAGTTTATAGAGTTTTGACGTTGGACTCTTGTCTGCAAAGCCTTTGTATTTTTTAAATGGATTAAAGACAAAGTGGATTTCTGAAAATTAAAAACAGGCAGAAAACAAAGTTTGTGAGTACAAGTACAAGTAATGTTTGTCTGATTATATACAATTATGTCATTAAAAACCAAAATATCTCAATAAGGTCACTACATTAGCGGCTGCATGAACACGTCTCCAGCTCAGTGTTCATAGACGACGTGTTCATACGTGTTGAACAGTTCAGAGAATCTGTCTCATATCAAAGTGCACGTGTCACCCACAAATATCAGAGAGAAGTGCAGAGGTGTTTGTGGTGATATTAGTGGCAGATTAAAATAAATATACACATTTAAAAACTGATTTCCTCTGGTTTACCATAAATCCGAGTCAAAGACTAAAGTGTTTCCGACCTGTTTACACACACACGACCACATCAGAGTTCAAGAACTTTGATGAGCGCACACACTCAGATTAACACTCCCACTTTATTCATATTTCAAAGCAGGAGGAAACGTTTTGAAGCCGTTAGTGTGTGTGGCCTGCTGTGATCTACTGTCACACACACACACACACACACACACACACACACACACACACACACACACACACAGACACACACTCTCACACACAACCATCTCCTTCCACAGGTTGTGACTAACTGTCAGGATTGTGTATTGACTTCCATTCATGGACAGTCTAACCAAAATCCTGACCTCTGACCTTAACCAGGATGTCAGAAATGACGTTGAGCCTCATTAGGACTGAGCTTTGGTTCCCATCAGGTCAAATGGTCCTGACAAGGTCAGTGTTTATCGAGAGGGAAGTGACTAACAGTTGAACTTTCTACTTCTTACATTAAGTAAATCGACTTTAATGCCTTTGAGGGGAATCATCATTCTTTTATTTTGCAGCACCGAGCGTCACCTTCTTAACATCAACACAGATTTCCACCTGAACAGACAATAAGAGAGAAAAGAAGATTCCTTGTTGTGTGTCAGTTTCGATCAAACACAACAGATGTAACGACGTGAAAGACGAATCAGACGAATCAGACGAATCAGACGAGAGAGTGAACCACAGAGACGAGGACAATATGTGATGAGGACAAACAAGATGGAGGAAAGTGAAGAATCAGACAAGATGAAGACGAAGCTGAAATCACTACAGAACATTTACTGTGAGTCTGACCCACTGAACACAAACAACACAAAGTACAAATACTTTACAGAGTATTAAGACTCTCATGAAAAGTGAAGAGTGTTTAAATACAAGTAAATATGAAACTTTTAGTCTTAAAAAAGATGTCACAGCCACTAGAGGGCGACGTCCAGCTGAGCCCTTACAGCTGCAGAGGCGCTGGAATAGAGGGGGGGCACATCTGTGATGGGGGGGCACATCTGTGATGGGGGGGCACATCTGTGATGGGGGGGCTCTATGCCCCTCTGTTTAACTCAACAGGTTTGAGTCGTTGTAATGATCCTCACTGACACTCGTCTTCATGTCTCAGTGAGACGATGGAAAAGAGTCCACACCAAATAATTCCGGTTTTCTACTGAATCTCTTCAGTAATTCATTTAATTCATAAAAAGCATCTTCTCGGTATCAAAGAACAAGAAACTGAACATGAATTGAAGTTTGAGAAACAGAATGTGTCAGATAAATAAATTCAAACATGTTTTCATTTCTTTTTTTCATGGCTTGAAAATAGTAACTAACAAATGGTTCAACTAAACGTTCACAAACAGATTGGGACTGAAACTGTAAAAACTTTAAACAATATTTTTTTATTATTCTGACAAAAACCTTGGACAGATCTGATGCGGAGCAGGCTAGCGCTAAAGTATAAGTTACCATGGCGATTGATCAGGAATTCGTTTAAGCCAGAGTCACTTAAATAAACCAGACTTCAGTTGAGTTACACGTCGATGTTCTGGAGGATGGAAGAGTTTCTATTGTCGAGGATCCAGAGCTGATTCTAATAACATCAGTGTTTCATTTCCATTTCCTGTTGACTTTTCCATCTGACGGAGCCTCTGTCCGTCACCGGAAATTAAAGATCAGATAAGAAGCATGTGACGCACAAACAAACACACACGAGCTGGTTTCCGTCAGCGTGACGCTCGTCAGGTTAACAAACACACGGGAGTCGTCCAGGTTACAGCAGGTTTTAATGACCAGAAAGGTCAGAGGTCAGATACAGGTTCAGTTCCACAAGGATTCAAAGAATTCAAACAACTTCCTTCAAGTAAATTCAAGTTACACAGAAATGAAACTCCCTGGAAACAACTTCCTAATGAGACAGTTTACCACAGAGAGAAAAATAAAACAAACCTTCATCAGCAAAAGTCACTTTTATCTGAAATATGAAAGTTTAACAGTTTTTAATTTAATTAACGATGTAAACGTTTTCTGGAGACGAGTCGTGTGTTGTCATTAAAGATGAACTCAGGTTTGAGAAGAAAGACACATGTGATGTCTGTGACCACGAGACGACAGGAAGCCGGATGAGGAAGGTAAAACATGGACGTGTGTGTGTGTGTGTGTGTGTGTGTGTGTGTGTCACTCCTCCGTCTCCTCTTCTTCACTGTAATCACTCAGAGGAAACTCACGAATCTCCTTCTGTGTGTTATAGCTCTTCCTGTGCATCACACACTCCTGGTCGATGATTGCCTGTAACACACACAAACAAACACACACACA